AACGTTCTATAAATAATACAACTGCGACAAGCGATCTCGGTAGCCAGCTTGCATCTCGAGTATAAAGTCTCGTCGTTCAACGTCTTCCAACAATCGATCGATCTCGCGGGGCGAGAGATAATACGTCGATATATGTATTGTATATATGCACATTTTATCCCTGGTTAATCTATCTTCTTTACCGACCCTCCCTAATCTTTATTATCGACCCTCTTCACCTTGACCAATCCTAACCTCGAATTCCTCGACATCTACGAAATTGGACGTTGCAGATGGATCCTACGATAATAAACTGTCTAATTATTCGATACACGAGATTTCTATAACGAATCGTTAATTAAAACGATTTCGAAAAATTGTCGAGATTTCGTTAACGAGAAGAATATTATACTTTTATACATCTCCGATATAATAATTTAAATTTACATTGATATTCAATCAAATGGAATAATATTTAAAAAGCGATCAAGAATTTCAAGAGTTCGTATTTAATTAATTATTTATATCTGTCGTAACGCGTATTTTATCGATACTGTTTCCTAATAAGGATCTCTGAAGGCACGAGAGGACGAGTGAAAATGACAAAGCTCGGTCGGCTTATCGGTTCGCGGTGTTGCACGTTTCATTAGGTGTTCTTGACACGCCCCCTCTGTAAAGTTATAGTTTAAGCAAGTTTAATGGGATCAATTTAGTTATTTCGAGCGGGTACAGCGGGTTTTGTTTACTGAAACGGGGCTAAATTTCCTTAATCTGACGCGGAAAAATGCCGCGTATAAAAGTCATTAAGGGGTTAAATAGGATCGTTTGACATTTTTACTGCTTCGTGCTCGCACGATTTATTTGCATCGTGTAATTTCTTTAATTTTTCACCGTTATCGCGAACTGTTCGAGAGCTAACGAATCTGATCGGGGGAGGAGTGCTCGATTCTTTCCTCCTTCTGGATTAATATTTTCCAACGACAATGATCCGTAAATGTCCTTCATCCTCCACGCGTATCAAAGTGTGGAGCTCATTAAATTCGATTCGTCGCGTTTCCATTAAATTCTTTTTCCACGTAAATCTCATTTCGTCCGAATTTTTATCGAAATTGGAGAGAGAAAAAAATATTTGAAAATTTCGACTAATTTCTCGTGTGAGAGATGGAAGAAATTAAAAAAATTTAAAAGAATCGATGGGATCGAGAGGAAATTATTCTTTTCCTAAGAAAAATTTGAAAAGAAATATAGAAAATCAAGTGAACGAGAGAAAATTATTTTCTTTTAATTTCAATCGTGAGTAATGCGATTACAATAAAGAAAAGAAGAAAAAGAAAAATGGTAAAAAAATACAAAAGAAGGATTAGCTAATATCAAAAAAAAAATTTGAAAAGGAAATATAGAAAATCAAGTGAAATCGGTGCAATTATCGAGAGAAAATTATTTTCTTCTAATTTTGATTGTAATGCAATTATAAAAAAAAAAAAAAAAATGGTAAAAAATCCAAAAGAAGGATTACAATGTCAAAATAAATCTGAAAAGGATCGAAATCTAAAAGAAATCGAGTAAGATGCAATCATTGAGAAAAAATTATTTTCTTCTAATTTCAATTTCAAATGCAATTACAATAAAGAAAAAGAAAAAAAAATTGTAAAGAAAAATCTGAAAAGGATCGAAATGTGAAAGACATCGAGTAAGATCGATGCAATCGTCGAGAAAAAATTATTCTCTTTTAATTTTAATTGTAATGCGATTATAATAAAGAAAAAAAAAAAATAGTAAAGTCGAAGAAAAATATGAAAAGGATCGAAATGTAAAAGAAATCGAAGCAATCATCGGAAGAAAATTATTTTCTTCTAATTTCGATTGTAATGCGATTACAATAAAAAAAAAAAAATTATAAAGAAAAATCTAAAAAGGATCGAAATGTGAAAGAAATCGAATAAGATCGATCGTCGAGAAAAAAATTATTCTCTTCTAATTTCAATTGTAACGATTACAATAAAGAAAAAAAAAAAAAAAAAATTGTGAAAAGGATCGAAATGTAAAA